GACTGGTTTTTCAGCCGTAAAAAGGAATGTTTTTGGTGACCGATCTACGCTCCTTAGAGTCTGAACCGATTAATTATCGGATGTTTTTTCTGGCCAACTTCTACAAATGCACTCCAAAAACTGTAGGACTTGGGCCGTTAGAAAGCGGAGGGTTCCGACAACGAGAGGACGGTGACACAGGTGCAATTTCGCCTCCTCGAAATCCTTTGTTTCTCTTGGTAGCAATGGCTCTCAGAATCTCCGAGTCAAGTTTACTCAGAGCATCCCATTCAATACGGAGGTTATTGGAGTAATTTGAGTAGGAGTTATAGGCTGTCCCGTCAACTCATTATATAAGCCATATACCCATATGACACCACTACGATCCTGAACGAAATCGGATGCATGGCGCATTCCAAAAATGAGAACTTTCAGTGTATACGTTATCATTTTTCATTACCATTTGATTCACGCTCCAATTCCTAATGGTAAGGTGCAATAAATAGGATCCCAGTCAGTGGTTGAAAAAAGAGTGAAAATGAAATTCCCAGACTCTCTAGAATATGCAGGAGACATAGGAAATCGGTCTAGGATACGAGGATATCAGAGGTCCTCATTCTTTAGGAAAGGGAATGAACATTTATTGAAGTCCAGAAAATCGGAACAGGTATTTACTACACTTTTACAACACTTTTACGTAGCATTTATGTTTACAATAACCGTTACTAGTTTTTTTCGAATTTTATCTTTGGCCCCAGATTTGAATTATGTTGGGACCTCACTGATAAGAATTGCCCCTCCCCACCCGAGAAACTTGGGGGAAAGGCCACCCACCGCCCCCTCCCCCAACCTCCTCAAGTCTCTCATGTGAGGTCCAAAAATTGATCGGTTTTGGACCCCACACTGCAGCATACCTGTGAATACACAAAACCTGGTGGCACTTTGGATTACTGGATTACCAGTTGGCTCGATTAGCCGACACTAAAGGGATAGAACACCTGGCTGTCACTGCCGTAAGGTGGAATCCTTCCGCCCAATGAAGAGGGGTCGAGCACTCCACCGTGACGGCTCACCTTACGTATTCTTTCGAAGTTACCTTCCTCAGACAGCGGTAGTTATCGTATGAGCACTGTTCCTTTCGAGAAATTAGAGTTTCTTTGAAAAATGACTCGAGATCAGGGATGCATCCTCCTTTACCCATTTGGAAAATGGAGATAAAATGTTCAAAACTTCAAGAATTCCAATCCTACTGTAGGTTTATCTGACGGACCTCGAAAATTGCTAAAAATTATTCAAACAGAAGAGGTCGCAAACTGTCGACAGATGCGGTATGTCACGGATAGGCTTCTAGACGCCACGCAAATGATGGGACCGGATTCACTGTCACTATTGAAGAAGCTCGGGAGCCTACCCATAACAAATTCTGTCGCTGTAGTTTAACACACGCTCTTACACTTCTGATTATACAGGTAGTACAAGAAATCAAACATTTCAACTCATCTGAAAGAGAGAAATCGCAAGTTTCTCCAAGAACTCACCACTGCAAGTTGGACATCCGCATGAACTTTCAGTGCTCTATAGCCAAGTTTGCGCTCCAGCTTCAACACAACAAACCGTAGTTGTGTACTAGTAAATTCACAACACTGCAACAACCGGTTCGTTTTAATTACCCTTTCATTCCATTCCCATTCCATTACCATTTTTTGTCTTTGTCTTTTTGGATTTGTTTCACTTTGGGAACTTTCCAGGGGAATGGTTGCTGATCCTTCGGTTCAGCATATCGGGGGCTACTTTTTGTAAAGTTTACAGTGTGTTGTCATAACTCTTTTTTCTTATGCCGGTTATCGTCGGGCACGCTAATCCCCATTATAATTTGCTTATATTCGCTAAAAGGTTGAAATTCTATTGTAGGGGGTTGTACACCCACTTAATTCATTTGAGACCTTTCCTTCTCCACATCCATCATATAAATGCCATCCTTAATTGACATTGGTATGAGTTCAGACTCGTTCAGTCCCCAAGTTGACCCACTTAGGTGAATTTCATGCCAAGAAATACCACTTTCTACTTGATACTCGGGTGTTTGAGAAGAGGAGCTGGGCTTTTAAGCATACAAAACCATACCTGCAGTGAATTAATCGGTCTTACATGCTTTGCTTTAGGAATCCATGGACACTTCGTCCACTTTGATGCTTCAAGATGATTTTCTACTACCACAATCACCAGATGAAGTTCGCCGGCTCATCATCTTGGATGCCCCAAATCTCATGCACATGACAAAGACAAGGGAAAGTGAGTGAGTTTATTGAGTACTTCTCACCATTTGCTATCATAGTGAATTACTAAAAATCTGCCGCTCTGTAATTTCGTAAACGATCAAAGAAAGCAGCATATAAGAGCAGTAAGGTGGATTAATCAAGTGAAACTAAGACTTCTATAAAGTTCCTCAAATATTGTTTCAAATCCACACCCTACACGCAGATCCGCACTAGTTTGTGTAAGTGTGTGTGTGTTTTTTTTCTTGGGAGTTTCGAAAATATAAAGCGGCGGCTCTCTAAGATTTCAACCCAGAGATGGAAATTAAATTTCGTAGTCTTCGTAGTGAATTGAATATAGGTTAAACTGAATAAAATTGTTTATAGAGTAGTTTTTACCTCTCCCGTAAATTTTCATCCTCTAAGATCTTCACGTAGTGTTGTCAGAGTACTCACAGTTAGATAAAATGTGTTTAATAAGTGTTATGGTCTCTCGGTACCTCTCAGTATACTTGTTTGCTATTTCAGCCAAAATAAGGTGAGCGCCGCTGGACTACTTGCCGTGATGAGATACTTCTTCAAAAAGGATTTTGACGTCATAGCAGTCTCACAACGAAAATACACTCGTGATGCCACTGTATCCAATAAGTTTGCTGTGGATGTAAGTTTTCGTTAATATCTGTCTTCGTGATGTTTAACGAAATAGCATTTTTTCTTACAAGTTTTAGATTGTGGTTCTTTTCAGCAACTTGAAAGCATGGGCCTTATATATTTGGCTGAGGGTCATACTCTTGACGATATTGTTGCTCTTGAAATGGCTCATACGACAGACGGTGTTGTTGTTTCAAACGACCAATTTGAGTGAGTTTCTAATACAAATTTTATTTCAGAATTGGCTTAACTATAGAAACGTGGCTGGATGACTTACACGTATTGCCTGCTCGTGTGAAGGATAATGTCAATAGGTTTCTGAAGGAACCCGATGCTCATGAAGATTTTCGAAACCGAAGCCCATTTTTTTGTCTTGCAGTTCCTGTTGAGGGAGCAATTTAGGTATACCCGGGGCATTAAAGTTTTCTGCTCATATAAGTGGCGAAGATTTGAGCTTTTTCTTCTCCTTGATCGCTTTTCCTCCTTTGATTTTAGCTTAGTGCTGCACTTCTAAATAGTGCGTACAGTAAGATTAAAGTTCAGATATCTGACTATTTTGATTCCTCTGTAATTGAGAATAGGCTTAAGGACATATCAATGTAGTTTTACAGGCAGTTTCTCTCTGAATTTGGATTTTTTGAACTTTTGCCCTCCTTTTTCGAAAACCTGCCATTCGTGCCTATTAGCTCAACTAATTGGGGTTGGAAATAGCACGCTTAAAGGCGCATCCAGTTTGATCTTACCTTTTCTACCCTGCACCTTGCAGCAGCTCTTTCTTCCCGACCCAAATCTTCTTGAAAGACTGTTTAGATCATGCGAATATGAAAAATAGCATAAGCATTCACGTTTTTGTTACTGGTATAAGTGGAGTTTTGAAGCTGATCTGAATTGTATTACTGTTCTACGCCGTTTCAGAGACCATATGCAGCTTTCACAACGTTTCTCCAAATTGTGCCATCGTTGCGTTTCGATCCAGCTCGAACAAGTGAAACCATCTGAACGCTATACAATGAGCTGTAATGGTCACTACATAGCCGAGCACATCTTCCGCTTTCATCGCCATCCTTCAACAGTGCAGAGCGGATTCATTTCTCAAGTCCTCCCTACCGTCCATGGTATGTTACGTGATAATGTCGAGACCCCAATATACAAAGGCATCTTTTACAGATGCGTTCTTCTCTACGCCAGACAATATCCGGCATGAAATCGTAAGAGAGCATCGTCAGAATTGGACCAAAGGCTATCGCGATCAAACCATTTCAATAATCGATGAGTTGCTCACAAGGATTCGGCAAGTCTTATTAGCTTTCAATAGCGCGCGTTGAAGCTGATAATTTCAATTATCAGGTCTATTCCATGTGCTGTGTACGGGTGCTCAGGATTCGACACAGAACTTGATCATGGGTTGACAAAGTTCATTCAGTACACAACACTTTTTCTTTCTAAATTTCTCTTTAGAAGTATTCGCTCGTTCCTACTCAACTCATTACTGCGATTTATGTGGTAGCTAATTGTTGCACTCGTTTAATTTTGCGGCAGTACAAAACAGTTAATCACTTGGCTTAGACCATATGCTCTAGAGAATTTATTCCAAAATTGCTTTAGAGAATTTATTCGAAAATATTCTCTTTTTTTCTTTCAGGACCAACGAAACAGTCTGAGAGGAGACGACAAGAAAATAGATAGACTATGAAATCATGCTGTTGAACAAATGGGCTGATGTGGCTGTATTTGTTTTTGCCTTCATCACTTAAGTCATCCAATGGCCACCCTCCTGCATTAGTATCCGTTCTTATAGGTTTATTTCCTTCAGAACTGACAAAAAAAATCCGAATATAGCTTTAATTTTGTAGAGTATCTCAACAAGCCCAACACTTAGTTTATGCGGAGTGTTTTACTGGCTCTAGCCCTTGTGCTAGTATGTCTTAGATCTTATTCGGTGGTTAGTTTTAAGTGCGATCAGGGTGATCATACTCCGCATGGGTTTAAGTATATATCTGTATATAGTACCTTTTGGGTTCTTTATATAAAACGTTGTTTATTCTCCATCACTTACCTGTTTTCCCGGTCTGCGTTCTGTTCGTTTTTCTTTGTATGAAAGTACTCCCTGAAATACAGGAGGTTTATAATTATAGGTTGTTTGTTTTCTTGTTTTCGGCTATCCTCACATGAATAGTTGTGACAGGATTTTCCTTTTGCACGTGATTGTTTGAGCTTATGGCAATTATAGACGGAAAGCGCATCAGATTGGTATCTGAGAACACCCCATTTCGTTTTGTTTTGTTGATATGCATTGGTCTCTTCTTTTTTCGTGGTTAGGTTAAGCATGGCTACCGTTGAAAGCACAATTCTGTTTGAAGCACGGTGAAATGGTTTGCAGCTTTTGTTCCGCCGTGCTTCATTTCATTCATATTCTAATCGGTATTCATGATTATCCTTACGTTATGTAAATGTCTGAGCTTTCTTTTGACTTCGCTTGGTCTGGTGGAACTGAGCGGTTTATTTCATAGATATGAAGTATTAAAATTTGTTGTTTTTATTCGTGATAACTGGTTAAGACCGCACATTATCTCTCATTAGTAGCAACACATTCATTGTTTCAGTGTTGTTCATTCTACTCGGTGAGTTTTCGCTCTTATTCATTCTGCAATAAGCACCGTCTCAGCAAATAAATCAATATTTTTGAGGTACTGGTTAGGTTCGTTCCGCTGCAGATGGCTCCAGTTACGGTCAGTAATGTAAAGCATTATGTTTGACTGGTGTCTTGCATATCTAGTAGCTTTCTCTTGTAATTGATCTTCTACTAGAAATTGATCTAGAAAGCATGCTGAAGAACTTTTAAAGAAAGCATTTCAAAGGGCACGTAGGTAGTAAGGAATGAACAATCCGTGCCCGCGAGTTTTCGGTGGTCCAAAGCTTGGGCACCACTAGGGACCCCGCAGGGTTGGCAATACTAAAGCAAAAACTGACGTGGGAATACGAGACCATCAACCTAGTTTCCACATTTGGGACAGGTCCCTCTTTCGACAGCAGAATAGTGTGGCTTAGTGGTCGCTGATGGGTTTATAATACGTGAAATAAAGAAGGCATTTCTTCGAAGTGTGATTGTTCGCCATTTTGCTATGTTCATATCAAACGTCATAGTGATAACATGGAGAATTCGCGAAAAAATACGCTTATTGGCTGGCTTGCTTTACCTTTTTGTTGTCTTAGAAAGCAAAAGTTGTAATCATACATAAAGTGTACGCATAAGTTTTCATTTTTGCAGACTCGCCGCGCGCAGGCACAAAAGAAGAAAGGCGGAGTCGTCCATCAGGAGGATTCAAATCGATATATGACTTCGAAGATTGTTCATGATACGAGTAAAACTTCCAAGTTGACATGCTTTTTTGACGAGTCGCTTTTGGCATGTGACATCTGCTTAGAAGTCATGCATAATGCGATGAAGTGAGTTCTGCCATGATATTTTCTTTTAAGGCTTCATAGTAATCCATAGTATCCCTTGATTGTTTGATTTTTTTTTGTCCTCATAATGAAAATAGTGTAAAATAATGATGTCCTAATAGTGTCCTAATAAGCTGTCATCTTTGGTAATGGTTAAATACCATTCTGAATTTGTCAGCCGTTATCAGGCACGATTATCCTATTTAAAAATCTGATCAGCATAGTCGAGATGACATGGGATTGAGATTCAGGATAGATCAAGATTCCTTTACAATTAAAATTCCTACTGGCATTTTCCAGAGATAGAAAAAATTGTTTTTCACACGCAGAGGCCACAGTAAGAATATATAATTAAAATAACACCAGCACATTAACAGTTCGGAGCAAGAGATCATGCAGTTCTACTGTGTCATATTATCTGGTAGCCCACTTTATGCCTTCCATTCTAACCTGATGGCATAAGGGTGGAAAAGATTAAGTTTGTTCACTAGGAGCTTCAAAAAGTTCTCGATGCATCCCTTGGTTAGTGATGAAGTATCTCCGTTTTATGAATCTTTCCGGACGGAATGAATGAAGTGATAACTATTGTGTCAACTTCTACTTTTTGTTTTCATGTTGCAGCCACCCTTTCCCCTTCTTTTCGAAACTCCGCCTTCATTTTTCTATTAGCTGATTGTTTTGTCTTCATTTTCCTCTAATTCTTCACAGTGTTTTCTCGTCGTTCCGTCTGTCTTTCTATCCACTTTTTCCAGTACGCACTAGATTGGTATTTGTTTTTTTTTTGTGTTTGAGTGCGTCAGGATATTCCTAATGATCAGCAGGACAAGAGGGGTTTCTGCGAAAGAAAATCTATCGAAATTCTTGGTCTGAGTTAGCAGGGGTGCAAGGCGCTATAATAGGAGAAAAGTGCAGTAACATATCCCAGGAATTCGTTTTTCAGATTTTAGAAAATGTTTGGAAAATGTTTCGAACTTAATCCCCATTATAGAAAAGCTTACTATATTGAAAAAATTATTTTAGTTGTATTTTCAATGGGTGTATCGATTTTTTGTTTTCAATTATACAACATTTCTAACTATTATCGAATAGAATGTTTTTCAGTGTATCTCCTTGCAATCACAAATTTTGTGCTGGTTGTATTTATGAGTGGAATTCGTTGAACTCAAAATGCCCAAAGGCGAGTTTGTTTTTATAAATATAAGCTACAGTGTCTCCATTAATNTTGGACCGATTTCAGTGCCGTTGGAGCGCTGTGGACATTACACGTGACACGACAATAAACGCTATCATCGAACAATACCTTCAAGCATTTCCAGGTTTAATTCTCTTGCAATTGCTTATATCGCAGAACTTTTGAATATGCTCTAGTCATAAATTTATGCTCTAATTGATCACATCTGTTTCTTCTGCGAGCTATGAGATTTGATGGGTACACTCATCTCAAAAACTCCGAAAAAAAACATTGTTTTCTCTTGACCTCTTTTTTCTTTCTCCTAATATATACTTTGATTTGTTCTTACCAATTAGTTTCATCTTTTGTTATCCCATGGGTTTGTAGAGAAACGACGAGATGAAGCTCAGTTGATTGAACTCGATGAGCGAGAGCTGGATCATTTGGAGAAATGGGAACGAAAGCGAGATTCAGATGAAGGAGATTATATAGACATGGAAGATCAATACTTTGAGGTACTGTGTGGAAGAACATTTTTCTAGAGAAAAAAAAACAAAAAACGCCTGTTTTGCCCCACTCTCTGCAGAGTAACAATGTGTAGTGCAGAAATTTCCACAGTTTTATTTTCCTTGAGTGATCACTATATCGCACGGTATGTACGGCTCTGTTGACAATGTTCCACTGCCTATGTAACTGTAATTATTGATTTAAAAAATCTGGCAAAAATGATTTAGAGTGAAGATTCGGATGCTTTCGAGGTGCAGGACGAGCAGCTGGAAGGAGACGATGACGATGTTTCTGCCTTGGACGATTATTCGAGCTCTGAGAGATGGAGTGATGATGATATGATGGGTAGTTACGAGGATGAGGAGGACGAGGACGATTCTGACATTCAGTACATTTATTTTTGCTCTTTAAAATTTGTTTTCACACTTTTTTTTCTGAAAAGTCTACCGATTGTTTTTCATCATGGTTCATGCTTTAAAATTCAAAAAAGACTACGGAGATGTTTCAGAGACGAGTATCTGTCGCGCAGAAATTTGGAGAAGGCTCGAATGGAACGGTTACGCCGAGAGAAAGAAGAACGTGAGAGACTAAAGCAGATGGAAGCGGAGCAAAGTCGCAAAACAAATGCCGCATCCAAGAAAGGAAGAACTCGTGAACCTCGTTGTGGAACAGGAGGGAACAGTGGGTCATTCTAATGTTTTTATGTCTTCGTTGGTCGGGTTTTACGGGTTTTAACCTCGTTGCTTTACTTGCGTTAACCCAAACTTTTTCGGGATGCGGTTTAGGTTTCTCATTTCGTCCGCTTCATTAGGATACCTTTTACTTTTTGATATTGGCTGCGATGCAAGAACCCACGTATTGAAAATTATTACCTAGAATTAGCACCTGATCCTAATTTTGCAATTTCTTGATTGCTCTATCTCTTGGAATGAGACCACTGGACTGATTTTGCATTTTCTTGAGTGGTCGCGATCACAAGTTTCAATTCTGTGTATCTATTTATATGGGCAATGAATGCGTTCTTAAAAAAGAAACTTCTCGAACGAAAGGTCAAAAGTAAAGAAATTGAGAAGCGTCTCAGCAATGCAACCTCTCTACCTTTCCTATCTCTATGAATGAGCTCACTTGACTAACTAATGAGTTTTCTGTTATTCCATTCTATACTTATGAAATCAGCTCTACTTCACATCTCTTTTTTATGTTTACGTTTAACCATGCGAAAATAGTTCCAAAAAGGCCTCAGATTTATTCTGAGACGCTCCTTTTTTTGGATAGTCCACCTACTTTTTATTTCTATCTTTTTTTTCAAATTTCAATCAAGCGCCCATTCTTTGGTAGTCCAAACATAGGCGGAAAGATGATGCTATAGCCATTTACAAGTACCTCAGCTCAGCTCCGAAAGCAGGGTCGTGAAAGTTTTCCAAAATATCTCTATATTTTTGTTTGTGGCGTGCAGTCGTTAATCGACCGTCGCCGTGTTGTTGCATTGGCGATTGTCTTTGGCGCGGATATTCTGCCGCGCGTACAGTGATTGATGGTCTTTATGGGTGAATGTGAAGGGTACGAGAGGTGCCAGCTTCTTGGGTGTTATTTAGGCCAGGGACCAATGGGTCAGATCATCACATATGTGTGGCTTGTTTCTATTGGCCTGTCTCTTTGAGGCAGATATGGGACCTACTTCATAAAACAAACAGATAAGGGTAGAGATCCGACAGTGTGACCTTAACCAAGCCAACTAAACCACATATGATTTACTAAACGCTTTATGTGAAAAGGAGCATGGTAGAGTAGGGATTTGGCTTAGCGCCTCCACAACACAACTCACTAAGCACCCACGGAGATCTTTGAGGTCACCAATATCTATCTATATGCAATCAATGTTCGCCATCATATTTTGCACTGACGGCTTTCGCTTTTCGCCCGTCGGTCAGGGCAGTATATGAAGCGACCAATGTTGTCGCGATAATTAGTCAATTTCATCATTGGTCTTCAACTAGGTTTTTGAGAACCTTTGGGATAGATGAAAGCCCTCGTACCGTTCTTACTCCGCCTTCCAGTCTGGTTCTTATCACCGCGCAGAAAATTGCTGTTAAATCTTTGCTGTTTATCACTCATTCATGTTTCGAAGTGGCCCGTCTTATAGATAGAATTGAAATTTGCCAGTGTTCGTTCCCCTCTTTTTCTGTGTTAGATATAGAGACAATTCTCATGTGATGCTACTAATCTGAGTTTCCTATTTTAATAATAGTTCGATGAGATTGAATTTTGACGCCATCCAATATTTGTTCTTCCTTCTTATTGCTCTCTCTGTGAGACGTTTCTTTCATCAAATTCTCCCGTATCTTGTCGAGAAATCATGGTGGGATTTCGGCTTCTTTTGGCTTTAGAACTGTAAGTCTCCCCCTCCTTTCTTGGTTGGAACCTTGAACGATAGGGTGTTTTCATAGTTCGGCGTTAAGCGCTACTGACGCTAAAGCGTCCAGCGTCAAGCGCTGACTCTAGACACACCAATAGTAGCGCTAAACCTTGAATTACTCATCCAGGCTCGATAAAAATTATTCCACACAGGATCACCTGTTATAATCCTGCAGTGTCACGATTTTTTTACCATTTGGGGATTTGATTTTTTTAATTCGTGACATTTTCTAACTCTTGTCACAGGTCGAACTGGTAATCGTGGAAGATCTAATGCGGCACCGAATCCACCCACAACTTCTACTCGCTCAATTATTACACGATCGATGAGCAGATCGCGTGGCTGGTGATCGTCACCTGATTTTTTTCGCCACAAATTGCACACATTTCTCATTCCTCTTTAAGTTTCGGGTTCTACAGCTCGATTTACCTGCCCATACGATCTATTTCCACTCGTCTGCAACCTTTAAATCAGTGTCATTTCTCATGTCAGTCGGCGAACATGTGATAGTTGCCTATTCAAACCCAAGCGTGAATTTTTTTTAGACATTTATGCATGTTACTAACAAACATCTTTGAATAGGTGTTTTATTTGTATTTACTGCCTATCTAATTGTGTGTTGAGTGTTCGGTTTGTGCGCTTCTAATAATGTGTCACATAATGGGTTTATAATGTGTAGTTTCATTGTCTTCAATTATTTCAAATGTTTCCCGTCATAATGGACCAATTTTTCTCGAGACCTTTGCAGGGCCATATTTATGATGGGCAACTAAAAGGTGTGCGATAGTGAAAGCTGGCATCAAGAGGGCAAAGTAGCAACTCAAGGTTTGTGGGACCGCCACATCAGCGCTTGCGTTCCAAGATAGGTAACGATTTTGTGCGTTTGCAAGATTTGGGCGTGACTAACTTCTTTGGTGTTGGTAACGTTTATCCTCTGTCATCTTTTTATGTCAGCTTGGCCCCCCGAAACGTTTCAATAAATATGGCTGGTCCATACAATTTAACCTTTTCCATTACCTTTTGCTATTTTCCGAGGAATGTTTCATTTTATTCGGTGATACCTATCCTATATGTCATCCATTTATCGTCAATTCCTTTCCTCCCTAGGTATCCTATCACTGATTTTATCGTATGCTTGCAGTACCACATACAGTAAACGACGTACTCGCTTTCATTACGAACATATTTACGGTTTATGAGTTGCAGCTGGTGCTGCAAGCTCAACAAGTTTCTGTGCTACACTTGCCCTCATCTTATTCAGTCTGTACTGTAAATAAATGTTTACTATTTGTATCTATGTGTTGTTGATTTGTTAGAAACGGTTTCAACTGTTCTATACATTCCAGCTTTATGTTATCTGATAAGAAACCTTTCTGAATTTTGAGTTATCTTTGAAGTATTAACAGAAGGATACCGTTCATCTGTCCCTTTTAAGCATGAAGAAATAAGTCTAAAACATGGAGACCGAACCAGATGATATGAAAAGCTCTCATTTCTTGTTATACCTTGGCTACTTAGGATGCTTCTGTTCCAATGTGATGTCCGGCAGCCCCATTCTGGATAGTTTGTGAATTTTCTCGTTCCCGCTAGTTATGTCGTGATCGTGAAAATAATGCGGGTGTCCCTGTTGTCCTTGACTTTGGGAAGTTCTACTGAGTTCGCGGTATCAAAGGGAGTGATAGTAACTTTTCTTACGGTGTGAAGTGTTTCGGCATGTTGTGTCCAACATGGGACAGCCCCATTGAGTTTTGTTTATGTATTCCTTTCTACAATAGATAGCCCTCAAAATGAAAATGGCTTTATCAGATAGCTGTATTTGAGACTCGGTCGCCGCAACATTGAATTAGGCTAAAAAGGTTGTAGTAATCCTGTTAGCTTGCATCTTATCAGTTAAATTGACAAGTAGTTGAAGTAGCTTCTAGCGATATATAGTTCTCCCACATTATCATCTTCCCGGTATCTTTTCGTGTTCTACTCAGCCCATGGGCGAGAGGCCGATGCAAGAATTCTGTTCGCTCTAAGTTCCCAACCTGGACTGGATTCAGCNGATTTATTCATGTCTCGCTGCTGTTCATTCCTATATGATAGAATTTCGTTGTGTTTTCAGTACGTATACATTCTGAGTTCTGAGATGTATGATATGGACCAGTATTTTGCTCATGTCTCGCTGCTGTTCATTCCTATATGATAGAATTTCGTTGTGTTTTCAGTACGTATACATTCTGAGTTCTGAGATGTATGATATGGACCAGTATTTTGCAAATCTTCAAGCCTTCACTTTTTCGTTGAAGGTTTGTTCATGGGCTCTGAATGGCATGAGCACTCGTTCTTCCTGGAAGTGAAGCCACGTGCAGAATTAGCTTCTTTATTCGTCGATTGCCCTTCCGAATATGCCAAAGCTGAGGGGCAGTTAGGAGATGATAGCGACAAAGAGTAGGTCGTCCTTGTTGAGACGTTGTAAAGTTACCATTTTATGAATTTCGTATTTTTTTTAGGAATGAAGGCTTGAATATGGTTAGAGTCAGTGAGCATGCCGTTGAATTGGGCACACCTCCATACCTTGCTGCAGGCCTCCAGTTGGAACGGAAGCTGCCACGATTCCGTGCAAACATCTCAAGTCTGACGTTCTATCCACAATCCCTTTGTGCACCCACATGGGCTGATAATGAACGGCTTTTCATGTGTAAACTTCACGTTGAAGCTGATGGAGCTCCATTTGGTAGGTTTTAAGAGTTCTAATTTGTTTTTTTTTCTTCTTCGAATTACTTCTACACAACTATAAATCCATCGGTGACGACATGTTCACTCATGCAAGAGCGGACAAGATTTGGCCAGGCTTCACCAGCTCCGCGAATTTCATCATCTGGTTTGTTGTCTGTTCATATCTTTAGTCTTCTACAACGTTCTCGCGTTATTCTCGGTGGCAAAGTAGAAAGGCAAGCACCAGTTTTTGCCCGATTTCCTTTAGCTGATTCACTTATTTTCCTGTAATACGTGTTCGGAAAATGATGTTGACGACCCCCTTTGATATTGTTGGCAGCTAATAGAAATGGGCCTACTGGTTGGTGGAGTTGGCGCTAGCCCAAGTGGCTCCTTTTTTGATCATGGTAGATAGTGCCTTCTCAGCATTTCTTTATCATTTTTTGCCAGTGCTTCTAGTTCCACGCGACCTTGCAAGAAGTTCCTTCACATTTTTATGTGAAATGTGGAAAGAAAAAAAAATTTTTGTTGAGGATAGTTAGGAACGAGAAAGGGAGGAGTCAAATTGTAATCTATTCACTTTGGGTAAATTGAAACAATAGTTACAATAGTAATTACATAAACGAAAGTATTGGCTGTATAATTCTTTAGCAGCACCTTTGCGCTTCCTATCAACGATACATTATAATAGGTTTTTTCAGTAATAGAAGATTTGGGGGGATTCAGGAGCGTTTGGGACTGCATGACTTTCATTTTGTATATAACGTGCGGTGAAATCGGAATACTTCGTTTGTATTATGTTGTTCTTAATGAAAACAATCAGAATTGTCTTGGCGTGTACATTTTTTTGATATATATCTCACATTAGTTACTATTTTTCTTCTAAGATGTTCTTATATTTTCTGTGTACATGTCCCCCGACTTTTCAAACATAATACTTCGCTTTAAGTACCGAAGACGTTCCACCGACTTGCTCGCGATATATGTGATATAGAGCCCTTAGAAGAGTATTGTAAAAATACAAATGGTGCCACCATCGCTCTTTCATGCAGTCAATGTGGTCACCCAGTTGTTGATGTCAAACCGGGGTAGGTTTCTCTTCGTATGGCTTGACTTCTGTGCCCTTTCGTTCGTGATACCATTCCTTGGTGTATTTTTCAAGGTTGGATGATCGAAATTCATAGAACGTTTGCACATTTTTCTCATGGCCTTCATTCTGACTTTAGACTGACTATGACTGCCCAGATTATCAAAACAACGAGGCCTAACCTTCTAAAATTCCAGCACCATCTCGCTATCATGTATGCCGAGCGATGATTGGCTCGAAACGTCGCAGTCTGCCGATTTTTATTGTCGCGACTCGTGTGGAGCAGCTTGTGATCCAGAACGGTATAGCACCCTTTTTCCCACATTTAAAAACATTTTCATCGTAAAAACAATTCTTGTATGACGACGACAAGATTTATTTATGTCCAGGCACAGCAAACATCGTGATGGGACGGAGTCAGGCAAAATGCATTCAGATTGGTTTCCAAATGACAAAAAATTCTTATTAAGCCACTCATATGTAGCTGTCAATAAAGAGGTTTGTGATGATTTGGAGCTCTTCCGCTTCACTTGCATGTTTTTGATTTCAGAGTGTGATAGATCCTGAAATATGTCATGACGACCGATTGTTGCTGTGCAATGGATGCAACGCAGAACTAGGCACCGTTGTTAAAAGTAAGAGCTAGTACTCTTTAACATGAGTCAAAGCAAATCTCGAAATGTCACTACAAGCTGAGCAGCACGAGACACAGCTGTCGGAAGTTTTTTTCAGTGTCTTCTTTTAAAGCCTCATTCCTAAGCAATGTGTTTTCAGACTGTCACAACATTTTCCTGTTCCATCATGCAGCTTGCACGTTTTCGGTGAATTCAAAGGCTTTCCTAACGACGAGGTAATTCCTCATTGACCCTACTACATAGTTCCCCTTCATTTTTTCATGACACAAACTGTGTTTCAGATTCAACAGCATATCAATCTTCTTCGCTCAATTCGTATTGTCATCGTGTGAAGCGCAATCTAGTCTCAAACTCGTTGTTCGTTCGCTTAACAAAACGCCACATTTACTAGTAAGGGAACTTTTGTCGTTTATATGAGCTCCACTAATTAGGGGAATGTTTATGAGAATCTTCAGATTGTCAGATGTGCCCGTTCGTTTGGGCTTCCTAGTGTGATCAGTGGTGGGCGCACACTGACTCTTTGTAAGTGCTCAGAGGGGTGCTCGGCACCACTTCTGAACCTAATGGAAGTGTCCCCGCAATTGAGGTCCCATGTTGGCTTATGTACGTACCTTTTTGGTGCTTATACTTGGGACACAAATATGGTCAACTTGCAAATGCTTTTATTGCCCTAACCTATGAGTGAGGGTCATGGATATCTAAAAATATTGTCATCAAGCAACTGTAGAACTAAATGTTCGCACTGAGGTGTTTTATTTACTCGTTCTAAGGTTGTGTTACGGGAAGTCAAAAAATACCGGAAAAATTGCTGTTGTTATTTTATCGCGGGCTGTCCGTTGCTTCCACTTGAAGCTCCTGAACATTCTGATCCATTTTAATAAGAAGGCGATATGAGTTAAAAACGCATGCAACAGTGCATGCTCCCTTCGGCAACTGGCGCTGACAACAACCCATAGATTCTTCATGGCTGCGCCCGGCCACTGGTACTTAAAAGTGAACTGAAAGAATGTTTTAGATATGGCTGTTGGACTCATATATTGTGGCGGCCTCAGGTGAGCTGCATGATGAAGAAACCATGGAATCTGAAGGTATGTTACTTATCCCATTAAGTTACATCCTAGTAATACCATATCTATTAATTGATAAATTGTATTCTGAAAATGTGAAATTTCTACTGAGTTTTTTCTCTACAAATACACCTCGTGCTTCGAATTCTTCGTGTATTGAACATTCATATATTGGAATATGGATGGCAGGAAAAACATAGTTGATTTTTGATTTGTTGGGCTTCCTCGAAGCAGTACTCAGCAAGCATTTTTGACGTAAAAAAANAAAAAAAGCTTTTCGAACATCATAGGTTTCAACGTCGGAAATGAAAAATGTTTTAGAGAATCTCGATTCGTATTAGTTGTATTTTGTTTGACTATTTTTATGTTACAGCGGAGATTCATCCCTTCCCGGCAGTGAAAATGCTTTACAAGGTTTTCGATGCTCAAAGCGCCGCTAAGTAAGTTCTTCAGTTAGCCACTACTCATTTTTCGGAAACAACCCATATAAGGTGGAGTGGTGAAGTGAAAGTCGGCGGATACGGTTTTTTCGTCGAAGTGTTAATCAACATCTCGAACATAGCCTCTAGGTTCACTCCGCAGATAGCTTCTTCCGGATGATCTTATCAGGAAGTCTTATTATGGGATGGTACCTTTTTTTTAGTAACGCTTTTCAAGTATCTTAAAGCTTTATGGATTAGAGCGATTCAATTTTTTAATTTCTACATCATCACCATCGTTTACTTCCGTGCAGGGGTAATCATTCCTCATCCAGGGGACTATGTCGTTAGGTTCGAAGTAGGGGTACTAGGACTACAAGATTCGGGCTAGGGTCATAGGTTTCGAAGCTGGAGCTAGGGTAATGTGCCATGGAACATGGGCGATAGGTCTGATCTACAATAGTGTTTTGTAATTGACCTTCTTTACTTTGACAATCAATTGAAGATACTAGCTTCTATACTTGTACATTGTGCTGACTGTGTGCGTAGGGATATCCGTTAGTGCGTACCTTTCATTGGTCGTCTACTATGAGCAATGGTGACGAATAGAATGTTTTGAGAGGGAGCTGTTCCTGCAGCTCGAAAGTATCAAAGCTTATGACTTGTGCTCCATAATTCCTCTCGTAATTGCTAGTAAGGATGAAATTATGCGCTTGGCCCACACCCCCTACCACTTTTTTTAACCTGCTGCTGCACATGAGCGCACGTATGGCTGCCTGATCCATATGTGCAGGGACGCAGGATTCCTAGTGATGGCGAATACGTCGCATCCTCGGTAGAGGTTGACCAAAACGTGTTAGCCCGTTCACTTCTACTTTGAACATTCTGTATGTAACTTTGCATCAGTGCTGTGTTTTCAGCGATCCACGAGCTAACGGTGAAGATGCCAGTGTCGGCTTGGTCGACGTACCATTGGGATGTTGCTTGAAACTTATTGAATGCCTGTTGCTAAGCAGTTTCTCATTACCACTTCCCTGCAGATCCGTGGGACAGTTTTATGTCGGTTTTCTAAAACTTGCTGAGTCGGTCTAGCAAGTTGTTGTCTATGGAACATTTTTCTGATTCTGATTGTATTCCATCTGATCAAGGAAACTTTCTTAAGACTGGATGAAAGACACATTCCGCGATAGCAGGCTGTAACAAGGTGGTTTCCAAATTGAAGTGAGAGGTTCTACAGGTGCTAAGTGGATTGTATGTGGAAAGAAGGGGAAAAAATCACTCAAATCACAAATACCTGATAGATGATTCGAGCTGTCTTAGTACGACTTTGTTGAGGAGTGATTTAGGGGTTTGGACGAGTTGGATGTTGATGTTGCAAAGTTGAGAGTCTTTCTCAGTTCGCAGTTTATCAGTAAGTAAGTCAGCGGTTTCAATTATAAGCTGGTTTACGTCACCCACAAATGACTTCCACCAAGGTGATCGCGAAGTGTGTTTTTAATCCGTAATGGACTTTACCTCTGGTTAGGCCTTCCTTAAAGTACAATCTGTATGTGTTTTGTTGATACGGTTCTCTATCTGTTTGCTCGTTCTGATGAGCTCCACAATTGTATCGTATTGTTCCAATGTGGTTGTATCCATACTCCGATAGCCAGCCGCTCTGGCAGCTGGCGACAAGATCATAAAGTATAGATGCAGTGGGCTGTTTACTGATGCTATGTTCTGAAGGTTATATATGTAATGAATTTTGTAATCTATATAAAACTATGAATGTGGTAGTTTTTGTTGAAATTGATCAGTCTTTTGCTGTCTTACTCGGATTGGTGCTACCTTTCATCTCCGTATGTATGCAAAGTTGGATTGCTCTAATTATTGGCAGCTGTCGTAAAGGGAAGGATGAGTGTAGTTATGTCATAGTTATCGCACTTTCAAGGTGCTCCAGCTTTTCTAGCTGGCGCCGCTTTTAGGATTCCTATAATGTTGAATTCTCAGCGGTAAGTTTAGAATAGCTTTGTTTTCGATAGATGACTGCCCAAATTAGATACAATGGAAAGTTCGTGGGTCGTCTTCTGATTCAGCTACATAGATCGTATGAGAAGGCTGACTACCACTACTACTTCTTGCCCCACCTTAATGACCAGTTTGTGCGATTCACCTTGAGAGACCCTTTACTATGTTATAAAGTATGCGTGTTTTCGTTATACCATCAAGCCAACAGTGGCGAGTGAATGCTTCAACCACTGTCACTACCCGGAATCCTTTCTCATTGTGCTGAATTTGTAACGGGTTTTCTGGTCGTGGAGTGTCTCTTCTATCCCATTCTGCAAGGGTACTGTACCGAAAAATTACGTGGACTTCAAAATGGTATCGGTAGGTTAGTTGAGAATGGAGAGAGGCGAAAACCATCATTGACAATATTGAATTACTTCAATCCCAGCTGGTGAAAAAACCAAAACTCCAGAACTCAACGTGAAGCATGGATACAGTGCGTTCTCGAATCCTATCTCACCAGTTGGGCTAAAACGCGCTGACACGTGCGTGTCTGGAAAGGAGGTTACTGAACAGAGTTGTGGCTTTCTGAGCGTAGCCACGCCTACATCTGCGCACGCCCCACCCTCTACGAAAATTCGACCACATTCCTTCAATAGCTCCTACCGTTTTATTGGAACTTTATCGTTCTTGAACAAAGACATGAGTTTTGGGCCATTGTCTCGCCTGCTGTGCTGATTTGTCTACGTTGCCTCTGATCACTTTCTCCGGATTCCCCTGAGAGTTTTCGAACAAAATTTACTACAATTTCGTAAAAGTATCTTCTATTTGTCACAGCACGCCTCAAATGTAATAGGCAGAGCTCGGTTTAGTTTGCCCTGCCCAGAATACCGTAGACCTCACCTGTTTCTATAATTTTCCACTGGGCTCCAGGCTTTAGTGGAATCGGTCCATAAATTAATTTACTGGGTATCGCCACCCTGAGGACACCCTGCTCAGCGCAGTTAAGTCCCGTTCATCTGATTTGTTGACTCGTCCTAACCTCCTCCATTTTTCCCACTCTCCAAGCTTTTCTGGCAACAAATCACGAAGTTTTTGCCTTTGGCAGTTCTGCAAAATCATTGGACACGTGTGGGCGGAGCTACACTGTGCTCACACGTGCTTCGTTGGGCTTACCATGAGAATATTTACTACTTCTGAAGATTACATTTTAACCAGGACCTACTGACCTCGTTGAAATGCTTTACCACTACTCAATGATTTTGAAGTCACACGTTACCGCGACTTTAAAACCCAACTAGGACATGACCCCGTACAAGTACCTACTTCAACGGTTAACCCCTACACCGTTGATGCGCCAGTAGTGCGACGCGGTCTGCGTCAATGAAGCATTGATGCAACTTAAGAGGTTGAGCTTCCTTCTTATTACTTTCTTTTTCCTTCTCTCTATCACTTTCCTTCCACCAAAGTCCAGTATTTGTAAAGTAGGGCATAATTTAAAAGGCGAAAGGGTTCCATAGTTTTTTTTCATTAAGCAGAAAACTTAGCTATTTTGTAAGTATTCTAAGGATGCGATCAGACCCCTGGATGGTATTGAGGATTATTTCGAGAGAATTTCTGAAGTTGGGAAAACCACGCAACGGCTAACCGACTTCATTCTCAAAAACCTGACAGCATCATCATTTTTAAACTACTTTTTTGTTGAAGTTTTCCGTAGGAATTGGATAAGTGAAATGCATCCAAGCTAAATCGATGCTCGGACCGAGCATTTTTTATCAATTTTGGCAGTTCACACGATGAAAAGCTTTAAAATTCGTGTAAAGTCTTTACGAACACTCCTCACGGCGGGCTTATGTAGACGTGAGGTAGCTGGAAGACCCTTATTTCTCATCGTCTGGTTATTCGACTGAAATGCTTTCCAATACCTAACCAAAGAATCATAGTAATAGTAGTCCGTATGTAATTACACATACCTCTAACATTTGCCATGGACAAGTCTTGAGAATTTGAACAGTTTGGGGACATAAAAATGCTAGAACTGGGGTTTCTATCCTCTGGTAACCCTCCTGTCAAATATCTGTAATCGTTTTCTTCGGTTTCGAGTCAGCCAACAGTCTAATTTGGTTTTCGGGAAAAGTAGAAACGAATCGAATCAGTATAAAGCCCTTCATTTTGTGTGAAAAACTACTTCAAATCTTAATTCCACCGCTTTACTCAAATGGCTGTTTTCAGAGTTCAACGACGTACCCGACGACTACGACTTTACGGATAATATATTTCCTTTCACAGTGTAACTTTAGTTGGATACACTATCTCTCAAACCGTCAAATATACGGCGCATCCAAAGAGACCTTGGTCAGGGTGGTTGTGTGGTGTGGGTAGCCATGGGACTGACTGTGTTGCTTTATAACAACTCGTATGAGCTAGGAGCCCCAGTGGGTTAGGAGTCAAGTTCCGTGCTAGATCGTTACGTGCCTTAGTCCCGCTTCGATAGTTGGTCTATTGATCTGGAATATTTTCTTTGTCTAATTCCAGCGAATACCACTCTTATTGAATCTCGCATTAAGGCTTTGCCTCTGCCAACTCGCCAGTGTTGTCATGTTCCTGTGAAAATTTTAATTACGCTTTTGGTTAAGCTGCGAGCCTCAATATCTTTTCCTGCTCGGCAGTTCTTTACTATGTGTAATTTACGTCTTTGACCGGAGCATGTTTTTCTGGTTTCCTGTCACTAGTTATCCTTCATAATTTCAGCTGGTAAACAATGCCCATATTGTCTCTGCTGAAGGTTACGGTCCCCTACAGCAGTGAGTTTTTGACGAGTCTCCTTGCACAAGTGTATTTTCGGTTGCACTAACGAAAACATACGTTACAGAAGCAATTTTGGGCAACTCACTGGGTGATGGAGTGACATATGGTATCATCAGAGCACAACAAGTGCGATGTTTAGCTGTTCCTGGAGGCAAAGCAGTTTTCAAGGTTGGATTATCTTATCAGTCCTGTTTTACATCTTCTTCCATCTTCATAATTTTTCAAGGCAACTTTCATTTTGTTTCTTCTTTCTGCTCTTCCTCTTCTTCATGGCATCATGCTTTAAACTCTATCTCGTTTTTTTTTTATTTACTACTTGTTCTATGAGAAAGACGTTTCATGGTATCATTTGGTCTCATTGACGACTTCCTGTGACCATCGCCGACTTTGAACGCAACCGAATGATGCAAAACAGCAGTATCCGAAGATTCTCAATTGAAAGCGGTGCAAAGTAACAAGTTGTACGTGGTTTTCAGGGTGTGTCGACGGGGTAGGGCGCGTTGCCAAGTCGTATGCTTATTAGCACGGGGGAAAAGTAGAAGCGCGCGAGCCACGGAATCATCTGGAAGGTGCATCCATACTATCAGTGCCTTTTCGTCAAAGTCGGCGTCGATCAATGTCGAAGATAGAACGATTACGTGAGAGGGACCCAGACGGCTAGACACAGCAAGTATCAATACATAAGAAGCAATCATATGCGTAATCATTTTCTTTTCATTTGTATCTTTTTCGAAGGAACTACTCTCCTTCCTTCTGCTGAAGTACTTTCCTAAAGAAAAATCAGAACATTTATGCGGAGTACAATCATCGCTTCCGAATTTTTGTCTTTTCCTGTTGATGCACATTTGCACCTTGAGTCCTCATTGATTGGCAAATTACCGATTGACGGGCAACGTCGGCGTCGGCTTCGTACTATGGACACACCCATTTCGGTGAGATAGAGTCCGCTAAAAAGCCTACTGTTCACCATGGATAAGGAGTTTTTCCAGCTCATTCTCCAAATTCCTACATCTTCACTATGCTTCGTTCGTTCCTCTCAAAATTCTTGGTATAATATACATTTGGAGTCATAAAGTTTACTGTTTAGTAGCGAGTCTCTATTTTTTTTTTTNAAAAAAAAAAAAAAAAACAGTGATTTGCTTTCTCGATCCCCTTACGGAGAATTCATCTTCGGTTTTGTTTTCTGATACTTGTACAATTATAATAGCCCTGGTTTTAGCGCGATAAGCCACATCTCAATGTTGGTACCATTGGACATGTAGATCACGGGAAGACTACCTTGACTTCTGCTATCACAAAAGGTAAGGGTAAGAGCCTATTTGGGCAACGAGGCTTTGGGCTTTTAGCCTATTTGCAACGTTCTTTAATTTTATGACGTTGAATGGCAAAAGCGATCTACGTTTCCCTCTGATAATTTGAGAAAATTTTAGTGCTGGCCGCAACGAAAGGAGCTCAATACCGTAAATATGAGGACATTGACAATGCTCCTGAAGAGAAGGCTAGAGGTACATAGTAGCCTCCTTTTTTTAGCTGAAGATTTGTTACAAACACTAATCATTTTCCACATTTTTTCGTTCCTGTAAAAGGTGAGCACGTAGAATGCAATCTAAAATTGTTTGTGTAGCGGGGGAGAATGTTGACCGAACCTCACAATCAATTACATTTTTACTGACAACTTTATTCAGGTATAACAATAAACGCATTCCATTTGGAGTACGAGACTGCCAAACGTCACTATGCTCACATTGATTGTCCTGGTCATGCTGATTACATTAAAAATATGATTACCGGAGCTGCTCAAATGGAAGGAGCTATTCTTGTGGTAGCTGCAACTGATGGAGCTATGCCACAGGTTCGTCAGTTCAACCTTGTAAACCTTTCGAATAATATGATGAAATCTGAATGTTCGACTCAGCGCTGAATTATTTGGCCAACGAATGGTGGATAAACGAAGTTTCCTAAACGCTTTTGGCCAGCAATATGATACCCAGGACATTGACACCGCTTTTCTAAACGCTGTTGGCGTCCCTCTTCCATTCTGCAAAAAGACTTTGTGAAGGTTATAAAAGTGTTTTCTTCTGAGCTTATCCGGTCCCGCATCTTTTCATACGTTCGAGTCACTTCGCATAGTTATCGCAGTACGGAGTCAATTCTATTTTCGCTATGAATCGCGGTTTCTAAGTTGAAGGGGCCACCCCACAATTTCCATCTCCACTTTTTTGTGAACAGTCATTGACGTCATCGTTAAAAAAGGTCAAATTCTGGAGAACTCGACTTCTGAAGAGTTTGATTTCCATCACCATGACGAATCGATTTTAAATGCCCAAAAGCATTCAGAAAAGTGCAAAAAGTTATGCTCCTTGAGCCCACATCCCATGACCCACATTTGTTGATTCTTGCAGTGCCCATTTCTTCAGAAGGAAATTGAAAGTGCTCAGATCGGAACAACTCTACATTGACGAACTACCTTACAGAATCTTGTAGTAGTAGGAAAGGCGAATTTGAAATCAGATCGAAATCAGCAGACGCATGTACATAATATCTCGGGTGATTAAAGAAAGCTTTGTATTTCAGACCCGTGAGCATCTCTTGCTTGCTCGTCAAGTTGGAATCCCGCGTGAGAATGTAGCTGTATATCTGAATAAGGTAATGTTGTCATCATTTCTATGCTTATAAAAAGTTTTTGTTGGGTACACACGTGATATAGGTTGACGAAGTTCCGGATCAAGAAACACGAGAGCTGGTTGAAATGGAGATCCGCGAACTACTCAACGAATTCGAGTATCCAGGCGACTCGGCACCGGTAAAGTCTCGCCATCTTAGATTTCAGTGTAACTGGCAAATGGGTAAGAGAATATCTGATTTCCCTCCAGTGATGAAAGTAATCACCCAATCTTCGGCACAGAAACCAGAATTGACGTAAAGTTGTGGAACATTTGTGTCAGCATCTAGAATCTAATCAATAAATATCAGTGGGATTCCCTGGCACCTTTTGCACTGTTGTCAACTCTAATAAACTTTGGAATACAATTGAGACAATAGGTTGGAACACAATATTATTGGACAATATTGGAACATTTGCTCTGGGAAAAGGAGCTCTCACCGTTTCTTAGCAAACAAGATTATGCTTTAGGCTAATTTTTTCGTTACAGGTCATTTTTGGTTCTGCCCTCTGTGCTCTCGAAGGAAAGAAACCAGAAATTGGAGAGGAATCTATCAAGCAACTTTTGAACGTTCTTGATGAGAAGTTTGTTATTCCTGAACGAAACGTCAACACCGAAGTCATGTTCGCTGCCGAGCACGTTTACTCGATTCAAGGTCTTTAGGTTTTCTGTTTTCATTGCCGTCTTTTTGACAAATGGTAAAATTTAAGGGAGAGGTACTGTGATTACCGGTAAACTTGAAAGAGGAACACTGAAACGAGGTGATAAAATCGAAATTATCGGCTGCGATCGAGAAAATGTGAAATCAGTTGTATCTGGTATGTGCATTTTATATAAAATGATTGATTCTTTATGTTGCGAAGGAAATGTAGGCGCCCTGGTGACAATTGGAATCTGGTATAGCTATTTTTAGTGGCATTCCTTCAGGTCTGGAATCATTCCGCAAAACGGTCGAGCAAGCTGAACCAGGAGACCAACTTGGTATACTACTTCGTGGTCTAGGACCGAAGGATGTTCGAAGAGGATGCGTTCTCCTGCCTCAGGGCCATAAACACAAGGCGACGGACAAAGTCAAGGCTCAGGTGATTCGGGTTTCTTTTCGTTCCATGTTGCCGTTGTTTATCGTGCAAATGCGCATTGCACATCGATCCCCCCCTAATCCTTAGCTGTCAGCTGGTTGTAGGGCTACAAAACCTGAGTATATTCGCTATCACGGGCTGCAGTTCACTATCGTTATTGCACCATGACGTAAAAAGCTGTAGAAAAGTGGCCCTTTCGTGGATGTACATCACTTACTGATGAAATAACATCCTTGCCTTCAAGTCATTTGGGCTTTCGAAAGGCTATTTCGATACATTAATGAATGTCTCCTGTTTCAGTTGTACGTTCTGAAACCCACCGAAGGTGGATCGAAAGTTCCTTTGGCGAACTTTTTCACAGAGCACGTGTTCTCTCTCACATGGGACTGCTCAGCCACGCTCAAGATCATCGATAAGGATTTCATAATGCCGGGAGAAGCCGCTGAGTGAGTGCTACACTTTGCTTGTTGTCTCGAAGTTTAGTGTAACAGTACTACTGCATATCTGATTATTTAGGGTGCAATTGAACCTGAGTCAGAAGATGTTTATTGAACCTCAACAAAGATTCACAATCCGCAAGGGCACGACTACCGTAGGAACTGGTGTGTTCGTTGAAAATCTCCCACCTCAAACCGAAGAAGAGAAGGTAAAAGCAGTAATTTTTGGTGTCGCAACTGCACTTTTTCATATTTCTAACCTTCTGTTTCCTCAGAATCCTCGAAACAAGAAGAAGTTGATGAAGGCGGAGATGGAGCGGCTAGGATTCAATCCTTATGGTGAACTAGCTGAGAAGCGCTTGAAACCTGATTATTCAAACTCACCAAAGGATAATCCAGCGGCCAAAGCTTTTGAGGGTCTAGAGCAATAAGAACGATATCAATTTTTTCGCTTTTCTGATGACTTGTTAAATTAGGTAGAAGTATATAGTTTGTTAGTTTTGTTTCATATTGTTACAATGTTTTGTTTTGCACACATGGCTGTATAAAATATTGTTAATAGAGAAGTCGTAGACTCCTCCACTTTTTTTTTTAAAAATTTGATCGCTTAGATAGAACTCTTAGACGACGAAAACTTCGATCCAAGACCTGGCGAAATGCTGTAAAGGCAAAGGCAACTACTGTTCACCACTTGTTATGAGGTACTGTAAGAGATGTCTACCTTGAATTACAGTTTCCTGCGTCTTATGCAGTAACTAATGAACACGTCCTTGAGGCTTAGTTCGGCTCAACTTTTGTTTTATGAAAAGAAGGATATTGGAACCATGAGAAGAACTTTTCTGGCTCGATTATGTGTTCTCATTAACGTCCTTTTTTCTCAAAATTTGCAGTGACTTTACTGATCTGTTGCCATTTCGATAAAAGTTTTTATTCGACCTTTATTTTTTTTCAAAGGCACAACCCACGATAATTTTCGGTTATTCAGATAATGACAAAAAATGAAAGACAATTTGAGAATAGTGCGACGGAGGCGAAGCAAGCACGCGAATCGGTGTTTCCAAAGTGATAAAAGGCTTCTAAAATGTTGTTAAAAAGGGACAGGACGAGAACAAGACCACAAAAATGAAGTAGAGGTGGTGATTGGACCACCTCTACTTCATTTGCCATGATGAGCTATGCAATGCCTGCCATTGCGTACGTGTGGATCCTTTTGCGATCAGCTGAATACAGTAAACAAAAATGTACTTTAAAATTGATTCACTAATGAGCATAAGTTAACAAACACTACCTGTTCATCCTCTTAAGGAAGAAAACTAGGTAGAGGATCGCAGCAGCAAAAGGAATAGCAGAGAATAGCAGGATAAGAATAAAACACCACCTAACCATCCAGCGATCAGCTGATTGCGTGTGGTTCCTGCTGCGAATACCATAACCTGTACCGCCTCAACACTCGACTGACATAACATCGGTCAATGGGCGTGGAATCCGAACGGTCCGGTAATCGGGCTCTTATTATGACCTAGCTCTTGAGTTTTTGGGCCCGACAGCGTCCTTTCTGTTACCCGTGAGGGCCACTGAGGAATCTTGAGGGCAAATCTAAGAGAAACCATTTCATCGTGATCTGTGCCTTCAAGAAAGTAGTCATGGCTGTGGAAAAAAAAGGTATCTTAAAAGTAGGTAAGGTATGGTAGGGTAAAAAGGTATCTAGGTTAGGTATGAACTTCCTTTTGCTGTTCAACATTCTTGACCCCTGGGTTCCGAGCTGGGGCTTTCCTAGGCGTGGTCGGGTCAGCTGTAATGACAACCCAACAAAGCAGAGCTTCCCCTCAATTGTCTATTGGGTGGAAGAAAGATACAACCATGCCCCACAACGCGTCTTAGTTTACCAGTTTGGCTATGCACGCTAACGGGCGCAGTATATGTCGACGGCCACTTATCCACAATGGAGTCATTCAGCGGAATGTTGGATAATCAGAATAAGATAGTTCTCTCTAGATTCAAACGCTGAACTGCTGAGAGCATCACGCTCGATATATTTGAGCAAAGTTATTAGTGGTTGATCATAGCTCCGTCCACCCTAGTGCAAACCCTTCCGACGGTAAACTTGACCACCCTTCTTTTGACTGCTCCAAACCATTTTTTCCGCATTCCAAAAAATTTTTGAAGAGATGAATTTTTGGCTCTAGCCCCGCTTCCATGTGCCAGCTCCGCCCCCTTCGAGGACCTAACTACATTTGTTCCAATTCCTCTTACCATTTTTTTCCCGCATTCCAGAACGTTTCTGAATAGAGTTATAAATTTTTGACCTAAGCCCCGCACACTTTGGTGCCAGCCCCGCCCAATTCCGGAATTTGACCACATTTGTTCTTTTACACCTTGACCCCTTTTTGCCGCATTCCAGAACGTTTCTGAATATAGTTAAAA